CTGTAACAGCAGGGAAGATTTCTCCAGCTTAGCCACATTTGAATGTTTAGAAACAGGAGTTTGATGCTAGATCTGAAAGGAATTGAAAGGAATGTATCTTGCTCTCTTGCACTAAACATTATGGGTCACCAAAAAAGCCATTTTTAATAAGGCTTTTAAGGACTTGGGAATACGAGACCTAAACCAACAATAAGGTAGAAAGAACTTTTTCTAGCCAGAGGCCTGAGCTGGTTAGTACGGGGCAGGGGGAATGTTCCCAAAAGCTGATGTTAGCCCGCTGATGCCATCTCCCGAGGCTGGCTCCAGGGTCAGTGCGGATGGGTCAGAGCCTGCTGTACCTGCTGCTCATCGCTGCGCGGAGGAGAACGTTGCAAGCGTTTTCTATTAAAAGGAACTTTTTCTTGTAGAAAAGAAATCAGCTTCAAGCACGTTTTCTTATCTGGTCTGTCGTACTTCCATTTAAAATATTAAGTGAATCTGAGACTGACAAAACCGTTTTATCCAAAAGAAACAAATATTGGCTTGCTCTCTAAGAACATAATGAACTGTGGTATTGGCTTAAAGGAGGGTTAAGGATATGTTTACTACTTTCTCCATCTGAGAGGAAGAATATCTTAAATCTGCAAATTGACTATGCTGTAAGAACCATTTGTGCTGCCGTGAGTCAGGTGTTGACCTTTCCCATCTGAAAATCATGAAACGTTTATCTTGCATCGAGAAAGCAATTGATTCTGTCTTCAAGAGAAGCTGACATTTTAGCCGTGTTATCTCTGATATATACGTACGCTGGCTATTGACCACAGGAGAAAGTCAGATGTTGTATTTAAAGGGCAGGATAGTATAATCTAAAAGCAGGAGCACCAGGGTCTTTTGTCTTCTGACCTACAAAATGACCATGCGTGCCCACAAGAACTCTGAGTTGTATTGTTCCTGTTGGGTATTAAACCTCTTTATTGTCTCAAACAAGTTATGCTAGAAAGAATAGAAAATTCAGTCAATGGCAGGCAGCTCTCAGGATGTTTAAATTAGATGGAGCAATTGATGAAGAACTCCTAGTGCATCAAATCATTTAAGGCCTGTAACTGATATCTGACCTACTCTGATCTTCAAGGTTTAAATAATATTTGGTGTTTGTTACTGCAAATAAGATATTCTTTTGTCTCACGGGAGGTTTCACAGCTGAGTGGCCTCCCTCTCAGATCGGGCAGAGCAGCAATGCAGAGCCAGAACATCTCAGCTGGGTCAGTCAGCTTTGCTGGTGTCCGTGTAAAGACCTAGCACAGCCCTGGCAGAGGAGGTGAAACGCTCCCAGTGATACTGCACAAGGCTCAAAAGCAGCTGAGATTTTGGAGCATAACGCTATGTTCCCATAGAAGCCACGACTATGACCCATAAAATGGGCAGTTTTAAGGGAACCATAGCAACCTTTGCCAGAGCATTCACCCCAGCTCAGCTCCTGCCTCCACCGCTATTCCTAGGGATTTCTGAGAGTCCCCAGTGTGTCTACATTTGCTCTATGGCAACTGGGAGATGTATGTCCATCGTGCCTGCATGGATACTCACACAAATAAGGCTGACGTGCACATATTATTTATTTAGCACGTAGTATCACAGCGAGACCCCGTCACCCGCAGCAGCGCCAGCAGCAGTTGTGTTCCTCGATGGGAAGCTGACAGCCTGTCGCGATGGCGTATCCAGCGGACAGAAATATGGATGAGTTGGATTTTCTTTTTAAAGACAAAGAGTTGTTTGCTAACTCCTGTCGTAATCTACCTTGGATATAGAGTATTTAACTGATTTTACTTGATAATGCTCTAAGCTGGTCTTTGATAATTGCTTTCTGTAATTGGAACAAATGTATGATTATGCTAATTCAGGTGCCACCCAGTACGTAGTAGCAGAGTTAATCCATATCTGCCCCTGCATTTCTTTTGTAGATCATTACATGATTAGCCGTGGTTAGAAATTGATGGGGGTATTTTAATTCTGAGCAGATTTAATTTCAAGGGGAAAAAATCAGTTATCTGTCTGTAAACATATGACAGAGCAGTTTTGAAGTCTGGTTCAAGGTAGAAACATTTAAACTCCTCAGTCAGACTAATTCTTACAAGAAATGTGTGTCACTGTTACAAGCAACTGAATGACCTGCACTGGTGATAAGGCAAGGGAAGGGAAGCGCTAATGTGCTCTGGGTCTGCTCTCCAAGCAGTTCAGAACACCGAGCCCCATTGCAGGGTGGACGCATTGCAGGTTTCTGTGTTGCCTTTACTTTGCCTGGTTGTTTTGTGGGTATTTGTGTGCGCGCTGAATTCTTCCAAAGGTTGCATCGCACCCTTTTGTCATCAGGACTCCTTGAAATGTATGGGTTTATCCTGTAAATTCACCCGTCAGCTCTCCATCTTTGAAAACCTTGGTCTGCTGAGGCAAAGGCAGTGAGTTTGAAGCAATCTGGTTTTCCTTCAAGGGGGCGAGGCTGGATTAGAGATGAGTGTTCGCAGCGTCACCCAGCCTCCAGATACGCAAAAGGCAATGCGTGCCCTCGCTTACAAATCATCTTTTGATCGCACGTCCCGACGCTTTCATGTTTATGTTCCGTCTGTTTAATGTTCTCCCTTCGCCGTGATCATCATTCTTTTAAGTGCTTTGCATTAATGTAAATGTTTTTCATTCACCAAGCCTCGCGGTCCCGACTCAGTGAAGGGTGGATCAGTGTGCAGGCTCTGCTGGAAAAGTTGTCTACAAGAAAAATAGCCCGGAGTGTCAGTGTAGCCGTAATGAGGACTTGAACCCTCCTGCACCCCCCCTCACCGCCAAGCAAAACCCTCTGACCCCGTGACAGTCAAACTGCAAAATGTATAAATACACTTGTGAAATAATGAGCTCTGGTAATACCAGACATGTTTGTCATTTCTTTGAACATTACTGTGTTTGTCATTACACTGCACATAAAGCGAGTTTAATTCTGGCTGCGACCATTGAGTATCTGTCACTTGATTTATGCTGGTGCTGCTGTTCCGTCATTTAAATTTCATTCCCAGTTTCTTTGCTGAAACCCACTCTGATAATTAGTATTACAGTTAACTGCAGAAGGGAAGCTGGATATTAAATGGATTACTTGATTGTTCCTCGGCTCACTGACACCAAAGGGAAATGTAATTCATTCCCAGAGGTGTTATCGAGGAAAGGGTTCAGCACTGCTGGATCTGGTACGGCTGCGTGGCCGTCGGTGGTTGATGGAGGTGACAGCGTCGGCCACGTCATCAGCCTGGGGAAGGACAGTGCGAATGGTGGCCGTGCTTCTAGCAGTGGGAATTAGGCTGCCTACCCTGCTGACATGACAGAGCATGATTGCACCTCCTAACAGTGCTAAGGAAAGCAAATTCAGGGAGTGAGACTTTTGGTGAAAAGTCTCCTCTGCTTTACCTGAGTAAGGGAACCTGTGCCAGGCACGGCCTCCTCTGTCACGGGGCGTACCTTGGAAACTCACGGGCTTGGAACTTCACCCGAAATACTTATTCTGACGTGCACTGCAGCATACAAAGTCGTGTGGTCCCAAAACTCTTCAAACTTCTGTTTAAAAAATACATTGAAAATAAATTAAGATTTGAGAGGAAACAGCAAAACAAAACAGCATTCTTGACAGAGCTTGAGAAGAATGCAGAAATAGGTGAGTCTTGAATGCTTAGTGTAAGCTTTGCAGGAACGAGTATAGAGAGCTAAAGTCTTCTAACTGCTTTCAATATGAAGCATATACCGTACTTCATACTCGGGTATTGCCTCTTCTGACAGATGCATTAAATAATCACTTTATTTAATTCCATGGTCACCGTGTAGCATAGCAGTGCCACAGGCCTGGATCCTTTTCAAGGTGAGGTCCCAGCTGCCTGCTGTGGTGCGGGGACAGGAGAAGCTGTGGCTCTGTCGGTCCCACACCTTCTGTCCCCCGCTCCCCAACATGACTGATGCTGCTGGAAGGGGAACCTGCTGTCTGGCACGAAATCTAATTGGCTTTGATGGTCAGCTTTTGCAGATTTGTTTATAAACTGGAAAATGTACAAATTGCAGACCATCTGCGCAGAGCAGTGTGCTAATGAATGCCTGTAGCTACCAAATCCATAAGCTCATTACCACAAAACTCCAAGTCCTTCCACAAGTTCCTAATCGAGGGGATTCATCTGAACTGAGATGAGAGGAGTATTTGACTTCAGGGTAGAGCCAAACCTCCTCCAGGTCTAGAAAAGCTATTAAAATAACTCACATTTGTTCAGTCTTTAATAGAATCTGTTGATTCTCCTTGATTCTGCTTCTATTTTTAATTTTTCATGTCTTTAACAGCAGCTTACCACGCTTTAAATATTTTTTTTAATGCTGCAAGTAGAGAACTGCCTTGCAGATAATTCCTGAGATGCTGGTTTTTAAACTAGGGACGATGTATTGAAATATGTTATACACGGCATCTCAAAGTATTTCTGTACCTTGGCAACAAATACTAACGGCCTTTGATTTACGAATATTGATGCAAATTGGGAAGCTGTGACGATGACTTAGCTCTTCCTCTGTGTGTGATGTCAAGCAGTTTCATCCTTCTGGCTGTTTCTCTCTCAAAAAAGTGGAATTAATAATACTTGTTATTATGAAGCTTATGTATTACGAAGCTTAACTGATCAGCTTCCCTTATAATCCCCAGCCCTGCAACTCTGAACCAGCTTTTTGCCATTTTCCTTTTGTTCTTTCATAATTTGTTTTACTATGTCCTAGCATTTTATTTGGTGTGCCTTTGTTAATGAGCTCTGGGGTCTTCAGAATAGGAAGTTTCTTTTCTGATTGTGAATATCAGCCTTTTTGGGAATCCCATGCTAGCTTCACTTTTATTGTAATGTTTATAATAAAGATTATAATGACATTTATTAATGAAATCATTGAAATACCCTTTTGCAGACTTTCTGCTCCCATCTTTTCTTTTCCTACTCCACGTTCATCTCCTCTCCCTCCCTCTCCAGGTGGAGTGGCTGAAGAATGAGGAGCCCATAGATTCCAACCTGGACGAGAACATCGACACCAGAGCAGACCACAACCTCATCATTCGCCAGGCGCGTCTGTCGGACTCGGGGAACTACACCTGCATGGCTGCCAACATCGTTGCCAAGAGGAGGAGCATGTCTGCGACTGTTGTGGTGTACGGTCAGTGAAAGCGGGGTAATTCGGGGGAGACTTAGATGAGTGTGCTCTTATTGCTGGAGTACTCACTAATGTTAACACACAACTTGTTAATCCAGTGGTTAACCTCGTTCCTGTTATGAATTTCGGTTCTGTTGCTCAAGACTGAGATCGTGCCCGTGGTTAGATAAGGTTTTTGTTTGTGATGAGTTCCCAGAAGTTATGTCAGTAACAGTCCTTGCTCCAGATGTGAAGATGACCCAATTATAAACTAAACCACATCAGTAAGCCCTGCCTGTATCAGGAAAGCCTGAAGCACGTGCCCAGGGAGGTGCATAAAGCGCTGCCTTAATTGGCTCTGTGGTACTGAGGTGTCCAAGCACTAAGTAGTGAGTCCAGATACTGCACAGCAAAGGACAAAACAGCAGAACCATTGCTCTATTACCATCCTCTGTTGCTCTCCGTGTTTATTCTACTGCATGTGACATTTTATTGGTGCAGGCAGAGCGTTCCTAAATGACCCTTTAAAAAATGAATTAGTCCTGTTTATGATTTAGGCAAAACATTTTTAATGAGAATTGAGGTGCCTGCTTTTACCTCCCTCCTAGACTCTCTCAGTCAGTCATTGCACTTCTTAGCATGTTACTCTTCCAAAACAAACATTTGTGTTCTCTGACACCACGGCCTTTATGTAGTTGAGTACTGACGCTGTGTAGGTGGCAACGCGCCTGCTTCAGCTTGGAATTCACCCGTAGAAAGTAAAAACAAAATTCCGTCTTTGAGTGAAATGATGTGGTGAGGTTTGTTGCTTGTTGTCCCCCATAACCTCAAGCGTGTCTGTGCTCTGCAGTGAACGGAGGCTGGTCATCGTGGACCGAGTGGTCCAACTGCAACGCGCGGTGCGGTCGGGGCTGGCAGAAGCGATCACGGACCTGCACCAACCCTGCTCCCCTCAACGGAGGTGCCTTTTGTGAAGGAATGTCAGTGCAGAAAATTACCTGCACTTCCCTTTGCCCTGGTGAGATATGCAGAGTTTACTAAGGAATAACTTTACACGTCACACCTGCGGGACAGCTCTTTCAGTCGGAAATGCCAGGTCGACCGTTGTGCAAATTGGGAATGCTTGTGTCCTGGTGTAGGGTTTGAGCAGGAGTCACAAGCACCTGTGGCCTCATCTGTCAGTGCTTTAACTGACACTGCAGCTCACTAAATACTGAAGAACAGAACAGCAACTGGTTCAGTATGAAAAATCATGTGAGTGGGTGGAGGTGTAGGAAAGTGATGTCAGTAACGCTAGAAAGAGAAATGTGGAAACCTGAGCTGAGAACTTCAGTTAAAATATGTTTAGCTTGCAAAAGTTTGCTTTCAAGCATATTAACCTTTTGAGATTGAGCTTGTGCTATACATGGAGCACAGTTACAGCTCCTTATCTGTTTACCAGAAACCTCCCCTACCTGATTTTGGAACTGCTGTTTCACATACAGCTGAAGAAAGTTAGTGGGATTGTATGCACTTATGTTTTAAGGGTCTGTTTGCCTGGGGTCACAGTGTAACTTGTCTGGATTCTGGCAAATCTCTTTTCTAGTTTTTAGGTTCATGTTCTGAACAGAGATTGGAAGAATTTATTATTATTTGTATTTGTGTCTGTGTTCATCTCACTGTTCTTCAATCTGATTTATGCATTAAAACGAAAGGGAACTGAGGCATCCCTTCTCATTTGGGACAGGTTTAGAGACTGCTGTAAATCAGTCAGCAAAGCAATGCATTGATCCATTGGCTGGCTCAGGGCACCAGCCAGAAGTCTACAAGTCCAGCCATGCTCTTTTTGTAAACGTCAGCATCATTTCTCTGGGAGGAAAACGTGTGGCCTCTCTACATCAGCCTGTTTTAGGATAGAATTTGTATTGAAACATTAGGAGCTAATAGCTGGGTGTCGAAGGAGATGTTTCCTCCTGCAGTTTTAATAGACTGTATTTGCAGAATGTTACATACTGGTGCTATTTTAAGAGCTTCCATATTGCACGCTTGAGGTGCTACATTCTCGTGCTGCATTTAAAGATCACATCTGATAAAACTATATTTATTTCTCCTGATAATTATACCGTGTTTTACTTGCTCTGACCTGAGGAGAGATACAGAACAAGCGTTCTTGGTAGGACCTCTTAACCGCACCAGTGATGATGCTTGTTTTTACTCCCCATTCAGTGGATGGGAACTGGGAGGTGTGGAGCGAGTGGTCTGTGTGCAGCCCCGAGTGCGAGCATTTGAGAGTCCGGGAATGCATCGCGCCGCCCCCGCGGAACGGAGGCAAATACTGCGAGGGCTTGAGCCAGGAGTCGGAGAACTGCACCGAAGGGCTCTGCATCCAAGGTGAGTGACAGCTGGCACGGGGCCGGGTTTAGGTCTGGGCTAGAACCCCTAACGTGACCCAGGTCATGCAGCGTACCTGCCACACACCCGTGTCAGCAGAACCCTTCTGGTTGAAATAGCAGTGAAAAGATAGGTTCTTTTCAGAGGTTGCATATGCAAAGTTTGAAATCCACAGTGGTTTCTGAGTTGCTGGATCTGTGCAGCACATAATTATCAGATTATTCTAAAAATCCAAATAAAGGGGTTTTTTTTCAGTGTGTAATCATGACCACCTGCTACAACATATTTCACAGAATGTGCTACTTGGCCTTCTACATTTTCTTGCAAGTCAACTGGCAAAGCACCAACATGAATACTGTTGGTGCAAGAGCTGCTGAAGGACAAAGTTTACTCCATTCGTTGCATTTCATACAGAAGTTAAATAAAGGCAAATCTACTTCATGGTGAGTTCCCTGTGAAAGGATTTTCCCTTCATAAATGTCTGGAAAGCATCTGGTAGTTGCTACTATCAGCAGACAACCAGGAGCCAGGAAAATCAGCACTGCAGCTGGAGAACTGCAGAGCTCTGGGCACAGCTGCATCGAACCAGAACAAGGGACAAATTCACACGTTCATTCTGACATGGAATGCTGCTCCTGTCACCTCATCGCTTTCTAGCAATGGAACAGCAGCTGCAGGAGCCATCAGGAGTGCTAGGACTGAAAGATGTCAACAGAAATAAGTCCACTTTTCCTTTAATTTTGTATTGAAATAGTCCTCTCTCTCTGTTTTCACGGTACTGCGTTACCTTTCCTTCTTGATCTCTTGCATATATGTGTTCACATTATGCCTGGCAGTCATTTTCTTCTTCTGATGCACGCAACAGAAGGAATATGGCTATGAGTCCTAAGCCTTGTGCTCCTACCCATCACACCCGTGCTTGCAGTGGTGTAAGTGCCTGGGACTCCCCTTGTGCACCTCCCCAGCAGCTGTAGAGAGAAAAGAGCCACTGTGCCCCAGCAGTTCATCAATGGAGTGCATGTGGTGAGATGAGGAAGAGAATTGTCTAAACAAAATAAACTCCCCTTTTTCTCAGAGATTTTAGTGATTTGTTAGTGGCAGATAGCATCCTGTGTGTTTATTCAGGCTTCAGAAATATGTGTACCTCAGCTGAGACATCCTGGTTTGCTTTGGAGGCAGGGAATACCCAGCAGTTCTGCTGTATGTGTCCAACTACTTAAAGTGTCGGTGTTCAGAGGAGCTCTGCAGCTCCAAGGTGTCGGGCAGACAAACTTCAGCATTTAAAGGGACATAAATGGAATTTAGACTTCTTTCCTTCCCATGTTCTGAAAAAGAATAGCTAGTGGGAGTTTGTGAGCACTGCAATTTATTCAGCTTTTGAGGACCAACATGGTGATCACACGATGTTTTCCAAGGTCTTTCTCCTTCCTTTACGTTACATGAGTGCCCTTCCCTGCAGATGGCTTGATAAATCCAGAATCCATTCGTGTGTGCAGATTAGCATATCCATTGGAAATCTGTCAGGAGGATGCATTGAAAGGGGCATGAAAAGATGCAGCTGAGGTCTGCAGCTCACGATTGTGACAGTCATGTGTTGACTTGCCGTCTGGTTGGCTCCTTCTGTGGTTTTCAGCAGTTAATAAAAGGTGGCCCCGTTCAGGTCACTGCTTCCAAGGAAAGGCTTCACAACACTGCGAGGTGGTGCAGATTGCCTGTCCTACCTGGAGAATAATACCCTTTCATAGCGTGTAGTCATCCTCCATGCTGCACCTGGGCTGCAGAGGTAGAGGAACAAATAAGGTGGTGTGCCTGTTTTGGTGGTCTGAGAGGAGCACGTGGCCTGGGGAAGAGCTGTGGTTGTGATGGAGAGGGTTGTGATGTGAACACATTTCACTTGACGGCGGTGGCTTCATTCCATGGGGGAAATCACGGGAACTCCTCAAGTCCTTGTAGCGCAGCTGCTGTCAGGTACAGCCTGGGCCTCTGCGCACTTCTATCAACAAGGCATGGTGTCACACGCGCTTCGTTGGTGGCTTCTCTTGCTGCTGATTGCTCCTTTCTTAGCCGGCCTCTCAGAGGGGCGCATCCAGACACCATCTACAGGCAGGTTTGAGAGCGTCCCTGAGCTCTGCTCAGCGGTGAATTATCACTTTAATACCAGTGTGAGTCCTTCTCCGGTGTCGCAGAAGTGCGAAAGGGTGGTGCTGTGCTTGCCAGCCGTCTGTCGAGGACACTGGTGTTTACTGCTAATTCTGAGAGTGCAAGTTCAGGAGCTGTTCTAGGATAGAGCCCCCTTTTTTTTAGCTGTAATTACCTGATGATGATGATGATGATGATTATTACCACTATTACTACTACTACTATTATCATCATCATTATTACTATTATTTTCGTTGTCTGTTGTATGTTTTGTATAACATCGAGCACTTTGGATCTGGTACTATCCCTGGTTTGTTTGTACAGCCACTGGTGCAAAGAGCATTATTATTGATGAACAACTGACTTACCTGACGAATGGCGCTGCAGTAAAAAAGAAAAATGCCCCAAGAAGCTGAAATCAATTGAAGTAGCACAGGGTTTCATCATTGCCTTTTCATAATCATTTTAATTTTTCCTTGCCATGACATTTGGAATCACTTTCTGGATGCAGTTTTAAGAAAATGTTATTATTTTGCACAACCACGTGCAAGCAGAAGTGGAGTAAACAGTGCAGCACTTTCCTACACATGGGATTTAAAATGCTCTTAATAGACAAAATGTTCTTAACACACTATGTGTGAAGAACTTGCCTTCTTTAAAATAAATAAATGGATCATTATGACCAGAAGGATCCAAAAAGCATTTTTTAAAGTATGAGTAAATTCTGTAGAGATTTAATCAACTCAGCGTTAACTGTGAAACACCGAGCCTGTAAAAGAGAACTTTGATGTTGACAATGAGCTATCGAAACCATTTCACAAAGGATAAGTGGCATAAGTAATAAACCCAAAATTTTATGATTGAGATGAAAAGCTGTTTAAAATCTAAGCCTACCAGGGATGCATATGTTGACATCAAAGCAATACTATTTAAAATTACCAAAATGAAATTTTCAGTTTACGTTGAGTATCTGTGGGAGTGGCGGGGAATCTGCTGCTGCTGCTGGGTTTTCCATGCAGGAATCTCAGTGGGTGCAGTGTTCCTGTTCCGTTCATCAGCCGAGGGGGGTTAGGGGAGCTGTGAACTGACACCACCGCTCCCAAGTTAATTCAAAGACCGGCATCGTGGAAGCTTTCTCCCTGCTGCGCGCACCAGCAATTTTTCCCCTAAATTGGGATCAGACACTGTGGGGATAAAAAATCTCCTCCCGTGTGATGAGAGGAGAGGGCCGTCGGTGTCACCCCCATCTGTCCCCGTGCTTCCCTGGCACTGGGCAGCGCCAGCCCAGCCGTGCAGAGGCGCTGCAGGGGGCGATGAGCGGAGCCGGGATCAGGGGCGTGGGGCTGAAGGCAGCGTTTCCACACGGAGCGTTGGGTGTCCCCTGGTTCCCTCGTCCGTTACTCCTCCATGGGCCGTGCTGTACATACGTGTGTCAAATTATTTTTAGGATTGTAATTGCTTTCTCAGCTAATAGGAGCTGATGCAATTACCCTATTTTTTAAAAATCTTTTTCCTCTGTTCTTCTTCCAGTATGTGCCTTTTCTGCTCTGCCTTTCATCCCACGGGGAATTGTGAAGGAAATGCAGTTCTGTGCTACAGAAAACTAATCTCTTGGAGGTTATTTATCAGGCACAGCTTGTTAACTTTGCTCCTTTCGTGAGGCAAAAATAGAAATGAAACATTTTTTTGGTTAACAAATAAGAACTTAAAGGAAAGTAACGGTGAGAAAGTAAAATGCCAGGGAAGCATAGGCTTGATTTTGAACTGGCAGAAAAAAATACTAATCCTTAGCATGAATTTTCAAATTTGGAGTCAGAAAATGAAATGGTGATAAAGCAGGGTCTACTCTCGGGTTCTTCATTCGGTCCCTGGCAGCAGAGGCTGGCAGTGACACAAAAGGACCCCGGTCATTCGCAGAACATCCTTTGTCTCGCTTGGGTTTTGATTTTCTGGATGGATCGAGACAGTCCAGCCCTTCCCTGAGGAGCCACTGAGGGTGCTCATCTTCAGGGAATTTCCTCTGGGACTTGTAACAATTGCATAGACAGAAACTCATGCGCAGAAGAAAGGTGGAGGTGGTTTTGGTTCTGGCAGGTATGAAAGATGGCCAGGCCTGGAGAAAACCAGAGATCCCCTCAGTCCGAATGCAGAGGTCGCTTGCACCAGAGATTGCCCGAACTACTTACTTGTTTCTTGTGTATTTGTTTCTTCATTGCTTATATCCTACCAGAACTGTTTGCAATACTTTTCCATGGTGGATTTCTCTCTTTCTTGCAGAGTTGAAAGCTTTTTCATTGCTTAATAAAAGAGAAGGATTTGTAGAGTTTTTTTTGTTTTACTTTTATCTATTTGGTTTAAAGTTATTTTTTAGAATTTCAAAAACTATTGATTTCTTTTCCCAGTGCCCCAAAAAAGGAACAAACAAGTGGGCCATAAGCAGATAACTACAAACAAGGTTTCACTAATGTATCATCAATCACAAATACTTTCATCTTCCGTTTTTCAACCAGCCGTGATCCTGAATGTTGCCAAGAGGCTTCTGCATCCTCGCGGCCTCACCAGTCCATGTGGCGCACACATTTCGTTGCACTGCAGTTCTCTGTAGGTAGCAGCGTACGTCAGCGGCACAGAAATGTTGGTTTCCATTGCACAGCTCAAGTCTGACACGACGCATTTGGTGTTTGCGTGCATCCTTTCCTAGCAAAAATAAAAACAACCTCGAGAGGAAAACCCACTCTCGGTTAGGTACTGGGAAGCTGATCGTTGACAGACCACAGAAGATGCCTCATAATCCGTTTGCTATTTGGTCACATACCAAGCAATCAGCTGAGCACCCCGCGCCATGCTGGGGTTTCCCTGCGCTCCCCCTCTCCTGGTTTTAAAGACGACTTTTCCAGGTGCTGGGTTATAAAGGATCACTCAGATGTTTATTACGAGGGAGACAGAGAAGCCTCATTTTTAAGAGAGATGCACTCCTCTATAAACCCATCCTGTGATGTATTTGCATATGTGTGGTAATACATTGACTCTGTCTGTTCTTTACGTTGACACATAGATGTCATTATTGCTGTATATTTAGATATGCAAATGTGAATATACTGTACATTTTTATATTTGATAAATTACTTTTTTCCGTGTCCATCACTCACCTTTCCATGTACCAGACATAGAAAGAAATAATTAATTCCTAACTGACTTTCTTTGCCAAGTGATCCACTTCAAAGTATTGAACTTGCTTACTGCTGAGCTGCATAATCTTCTAAATAAAAGCATCCAATAAAGCTAACAAATACTTGAATTAACCAAGTGAGAAATTACTGCAAAGAAACAGCCTGAAAGAGATTTAGAGAAAAGGGAAAATATGGACAACATAAAATATTCATATTGTCAGCAAACAAGAAGAAAATGTTTCATTTATAGAGCTAGACAGAAGCGAAACAGGAAACAGATATGCTCCATGTAAATTTATTAAGTGCAACTTTCTCTCTCTCTCTCTCTCTCTCTCAGATAAAAAACCTCTTCATGAAATAAAATCCCAAAGTAAGTTCTTTTTTTTCTCTTATAAATATGATTTTCCTCATCTTCTCCGCCATTCTGTTTTATTTGTTTAGGAGCTAAATCAGACTGAAGGTTGTGTGAAAGGCTTTCACATCTGCTGAAAGCATCTTCTTAGCAACTTTGTGATCACAGCATTTAGACTGAGAAGAGAAAAGTGACCGTTCTCTGGGGACTGGTGTCTGATTGGGAGCCCTTTCTGCAGGAAGCCTCTCGTGGAATTGCTCTCGTGAGGACTTGTAATTAGGAAAGAAGAAATTAATATGGGGGTTTGGCTTTCTTGGTTCAGATCAGGCTCCACTCCTGGCTCTGATCGCGTTCGGCTCCTTTCGGCTTTGAGTTACCAATGGTAGAGGCTGTCTGTGTGCTTTGCCCTGTAAGGAGGATGTAGATGCCATTTATGCACTGCTTGGGGGCTTCTGTCCTGCACTCTTTGTTTCGTGGGCTGTCAGTGGAATGTTTAGAGCAGCACATTTGGAGTGGGCTGACTCACTGGAAGTTTTCATTAAAAACAAAAACAAACAAACAGCTTCATCAAAACAACCATTCCCGTGAGGCCTACCTGTTTTAAACTGAGGGTGATGCTTTTTCTTTCATAAACTGTACACAAAGTTTTGAGGGTTTTTGACTGCTTACGTTTCAACAAAAAATTGTCTTTGAATTTTGATTAATAGATTTCTAAACACTTTTTGGGCTTGGATCCTTTGAAGAACTCAAATCAAGAATCCACCTGCACGGAGCAGTAACACATGCGATTGTTCGCATTGTCTTTGAAGATGCTCTGGTGTCATGAAATAAGTGGGCTGTAAGTCTGAGTATTCCTTCAGGTTATAGGGGCATAGGGTGATCGCATTATTTGAAATGTTACGGAACTTGGGCTCTAAATCATAAGGAAAACATTTGGAAATCCCAAGCTGAACTCTGTTTCCTCGGAGCTCAGGTGCTGGGCCTGCAGTATCAGAACACTGCAGCACCGTTTCTTGCCGGCTTGCAGGGAGCCCCTTGGGCTGTCAGCTCCCAGGGTGCTCCTGGCTGATAAAACAGGAGCTTAAAGGAACAGTCAAGTTCAAATCCAGGTTATCCACAGAGAACTTTCTGGCTGCTTATGAAGGAACGAAACTTAATTGCAGCAAAAATGTGATGCAATGAAAATAACAGCAATAGAGGAGCAGAGTTGTGCAGGATGGCTGCAGGTCTCGGTGAGTGAAAGGTGTTTGGCTTTTTCAAAGCTTGCAGTTTTTAGCATGGTGAAATTACGCAGGGTACACAACAGCCACCATCCGTTCCGAATGCGCAGAAAGCTTGCGTGAGAATTCGTCTCGTGTTTGTCTCACTGGAATCGTCTCCTGCTTGGTCACGTCCAGTGGGTCCGTGTCATCCCTTCGCTCGGGCAATTGATACTGCGCAGTTCCCATGTAGTTAGAGAACCCTGAAAGAATATCAGTCAAATGGCTTTATTTTCTGATTTATTAAAAAAGTAACTGTAACAGAATTGATTTTAGTATATAAGATACCTAGGAGAATTAAAGGGTTTCTTTATGGCTGTGGTGCTAGAAACACAGAATGCAGCTTGTTGCTGTTCAGCGAAACAGGAACATAAAGAGTGCATGAATCACCACTGATGCAAAATCAAAGTCAATTATGAAGATAATTGAGAAACAGGCTGTTGTAGTAAATAACCTCGTACCCCATTCTCTGCCTTTTGACCCTTGTTCCCAAAGGCTGCCTGCACGGAGAGATGGACCTGAGGTTGCTCGGGGGGGACCAAACGAGCGAGTGATGGAAAACGGGGGGACGGGAAGCTGGAAAAACCTTTCCAATCTCCTGGCAAACCCTAATGGTAGACGGGGGAAATGTGTGCCCTGCATAGCTCCTGGAAAGCACTTATTGTAAATGAGATAATTTAATCAATTACGATTCCTAATGTACTAAACCAAATGTTTCATTTTCTGCTCCTGCACATCTTAAATTATCTTCAGGTGCTTTATGAAACTTAATCATAGTTAATAGAAACTTCATTACCATCAAATGTGCTTTCAATAAATGTTGTGTAACAGTGTCAGGAGGTGGAGTGAAATATAGGCTACAATTACCATAAACACGTATCCTGTAACTGCCGTGTGTAACAACCGGTGTGCTCTGCAGAGCCCCTGCCTCCTCTGGGCTGGGAGGATGCAGTTCATTAAATAGTAATTGGTTGACTATAAATGCTTGCTTTTTTAGTTTGTTTGTTTTTCACTTTGCTCCCTTCTGGGAAAGAAACGAAAGCAGGAAATTATCCTGTTCCCCAGATTTGCCATGCTTTTCTTGTTGTCTTTAATTTCTAGTCTCCCATCAAAGGAATTATCTGGAAGAAAAGACAGAAAGGGGAGGAGCTTAAAATTACTTCAAGAAACCAGTGTTTGTTTCTGAAGAAATACAAACACACCATAGAAAAATGCAAGTCCCCTGTCTTAGGCAGTTGTGTTTCATAGGAGCAATGCAAAGCAATACCATGGCACTGATCAGAAATCTGCTGAATCCTGCGGAGGAGATGCTGTTCCTCTGAACTCTGTGTGTTACTTTAGGTTTATGGGTGGGTTTTTCCTTGCAATGGAGTCGTTATGGGAACACTCAAATAACTCTTCCAGGTCTTCTATGAAACAGAGCAATGACAATTTTATTAAAGATAAGGAAATTCACAAGGAATAACTGCAAGTTTTTAGTCATATAATTTATAGAAAAGCGTCAACTTAAAGTTGTTAAAAGTATTCACTGAAAACAACATTATTCTGTCCAGAAAAATGCTGCTTGAGTCAAGCTGCTGTCATTTTACAATGCTGTGTTCTTGCTGTCATCTTTACCCCTGCACAGCGGTTACAAAAGTAGGAAACTTAAACTGTCTGACATCTGAACCGACTGAAAAGAAGCTGCACTATTTGAGTAGATGTAGAGTAGTAAATTGCAGTTACAGGTGAGAGCTTGGGGTGTTTCATAATCTGGTTGTGATGGTGAAAGATCAACTGCTGCGTTTGCTGCCTGTGGCAGTAATTTTATACTGATAGGTTCTTTACTTCTGCATGTTTCTGACTTTATAGTTTGTTATCCCAAGAAGGGATGAATCCACTGGCTGCTCGGTTTCTCCCGCCACTGGAGATAGACGGCATTC